AGCAAAGATAGCCATGCATTTTATCGTATCGCGCAATTCCAGCGAGTCTACACTTCTGCAATCATTGCTTTGTCTCCCGTAATTTTCTCGGTCGCGTTCCCATTACCCGCGCCGGCTGTATCGTACTGCACTCCTTGGATCACCTCGGGGCTCTCTGGGAAATCTTCTGAAATACCAAGACCGATAGGTGGCCAGATCTTGCAGGCAATTGTGTAGAGGAGGATAGATGAAAAGAATCCCACGATATAAGTCAGCTGATAGATACGGACTCCTGCATTGCTCTTTCCCATTATGTTCCATGCCACACCCGCTGTAATGAGAGGGTTAGTTAAGAATGAGTGTAAGGCAGTATGCAAACATACGCAATGACGGCGTAATGCACATGAAGAATACAATGCATGAACGTAGATTGATGCCGTGCCAGTACCAATAGATAAAGTCCGAACCACCTTGGAAGATATCGGGAACTTTCCAAGCACGTTTGCGCACGATCCAGTAGTCAGCGACCAGGAGGCCAGTTGTAACAGCTGCCATAACTAATATTAAAATTGTGAGTTGGATTGATTGTATTCACTTTCAGTGGTACGTACCTGCAAAGCTAGATATTACAGAAATGAAGGTTGCTGCTTGCGAAAGAAATCGCCACGGCTGAATCACGACTCCAATGATGCACACGAAAACGGCGCCCCTCTGCATGGATAGATACTTAGGGAACGCACCAGCAAGGTCCATACCAGCTCCCATGCTGTTCTGAGTGGCATTGACAAATATTTGATGGAGCAAGATCGACAGCCCGGCGAAAAAGGTTCCAGCACGACATGCTGCAGTGTATTCATGGGCTTGAAGGTATTGAAGTAGAATGAGCGGGTTCCACATGTAAGTGCCATAGATATGATAAGTTGCACTAGTAGCAAAAACACCGATGAGACCGGCAAGCAGGATGCAAACTGGCATGGCTGTGAGAGTTCCAGGTAGATAAGATGTCTTATTCTTGGAAAACCTCGACCAGTCCGCAAACCTGTCAGCAGGTTGCGAATAGGTTCCTGCTACCGTGGCAACACATTGGAAGAATCGGAATGCTGCATCACCAGTCGACAATTTCGTCGCTGGTGCTACAATTGTGCCAGCCGCCCCACCATTTCGCTGAATTGCCCATCCGAGGATGCCAAAGAGTGTACCGACAGTCATGATGAAGGGAACATGGAGGAACTTCTCATACTTGTGTGGCCGGACAAAGGCAACGATGGGCACGTAGATGATGATATATAAGAAGAAGCCGATTAAGTTGGCGCTTGTGGTTCCGGCACTATGTCCTCGTCAGCGCCAATACATATTCTTTTCTCTTCTCTATAAGACTTGCCTTGTAGGAAGGCTGTTTTTCATTGTCAACCACTGAGGAAAGATGGCGCCTATCATAAGCGAAATTGCCTGACCTCCATACGTCGACTGAATCCCAAACTATAAGTGCAAAAGGTCAGTATAGCTATTCGGAGTAAGAGAAGATAGCACACATACGAACACAACGTTGCTTAAAATCTGAAACGTCAAAGGTAAATACCAGCCCCGTAGGCCGAAAGTTACACGTGCCATGATGGTCTAAACTCATCGTATCAGTTGTAAAACAATCCGTTCATTTCAAGTAAGTCCTTACATAACCAAGTGACTTCTCAGCTCCAACCTTCCCGCAGAGAAAACCGTTCAGACTAGCGAAACACGCTCCAACGGTAACAGCACCTAATGTTTGAGGCACTGTCATACCCAGGGCAATGTACGCACTACCGATAGAATACGTGCTAAGTCCAAGACAACAGGTGACCCAATACATGTAGTAAGCCGTAATGCCGAATGTTCGTTCCTTGGCTGGGATTGGATATAGATCGTGGTTCCCCCAGCTCGTCGTTCCTTTGTCTAAATGGACATCTGTCCGCGGTTTGAGCTCTGCCCAACGGAAGTAATTTGAGAGCCCCATGTTTGATCCTCGGTTATTTGGATGAGATACTGTTCGGCCTACTGCGATTTCGGAGTTGTGGGCATTGATGATGCGACAGCTATGAAGCAGCAGGAGGAGATGATTTTTCCCCAGGTTATCTGATGTGTCGCACGGCCAGTCCTAAATCACTAATGAGAGAGGCTATGGTAACTTATGGCTCCATGATTTACACGGGTTGTGATCTATTCTAATATGTGCCCATTAGCTAGGATATGCTTCCTGGAAGCGGCGGAAAATTCCTAGCGAATTCGCCGTTATCTTAGGCTTAAAGATAACCAACGCCACCGAGCTTAGATCAATTAGCTATTGCAGTCCTCAGTAAGCTCATTATAACCTGTCGTTGATAAGAGCGGACCGGAAACACCATAGTGGAGGCAGATAAACTCGTACCCACCTATATCTCTTCGGATCGGGACATAAGTGCTTGCGCGGGCACTAGCGAATCCTAGAGTGCTGATAAATGGGTAACCTTTAGCCCCTGTGAAAATCATATCATGAGCCAATGGTTCGGTAATGATATGTCGTTAATAGAGCATCTAAGTCTCTACAAATGTGCAAGAAGCAGGGATATTGATGTTTGCGCATATAATTTTTACTGAACCTACGTGATGCTTGTGCATGACTACCAGGAGTATCAGTCTGAAGTCTTGTTACTCTTAATCGTCAACCATGGAAATAGACGTCTTAGCCAAGCGGAATCCTACAGCTTGTTTCATCAGCGTATTTCTCATTATTCTGGCTATAAGCGTTTTCGTAAGTTACCGTTATATATAACAAGTCAATTGTAGAGAGATCTAATACGACGTAGAGAGCAGCCACCGAGACGAATTTGCCCAGAATACGCGGTCTTCCAAGAGTACCCAACAACTTACCATTTGTCGGCCGACTCCAGGACCTTGGAGGCAGATTGAATGAAAACGATGCCACTATCTACAGCCGCTGGGCCACACTTCTGAACACTGATATATTCCAAGTCAAACTGGGCAATCAATTAACGGTAGTAGTTAGTAGCTTTTCCGCTATAAAAGATCTATGGGTACGACAAACAAATGCCTTAATTGATCGACCTCATCAACCGGGATTTGTTGATAAGCTTGGCCTCGATGTCTCTGGGTCTCGTATGACGGAACAAATTCGGCGATGCCGAGCGGCGGCGATGAGAGCTCTTGGGAAACCACAGTGGCCGGGTTACTATCAGCAGCTAGAGAATTCAGCAAGTAGTATGGTATCAGACCTCTTCTTAAAGGGGGAGAATGGCAGGCGCTCGATCAACACATTCCCTTACTTACGGCTTCTGGTGTTTGATCTTGTTCTGTCCCTCACCTATGGCGCAAGACAGAAAGGAGTAGACGACCCCTTCATCCTCGCTCTTGTCAATTCTATTCGAGAGATATCCAGTTATCGGTCATCGACGGCTCGCTACCGTGATTTCATTCCTCTACTACGTATCATCCCAGAACCACAATCTCGAGTTGTTGCCGCAGAGAAAATCAGACAGCAACATTTGGATATTTTATACGCATCCCTAACACGGAGGTTGCAAGGAGGAGAGCAAGTTGATTGCATTGCCGCTCATCTTGGAAGTGACGGCCTAACCGGTGAGGAGATTGATGGAACTTGTAAGTCGCTACTGCAAGCTGCGCCAGGTACAGTGGCTTCAGGCATGTATCAGTGCATTGCTTGGCTTTGCAGTGAGCATGGGCAGCAATTTCAGCACCTATTGTATAACGCTATTCTGTCAGCATACGACGGAGATAGAGACAGAGCCTGGGAGATGGCTTTTCGCGAAGAAGCCGTGCCACTTGCGATGTCTTTGTGCAAGGAGATCCTTCGTTTCTACACCGTTACACCATATGCAACACCTCGAAGCACAGTTTGTGATGTTGAATTTCGGCAAATCAGGATTGCACGAGGCACTACGATGATCATGAACGCACAAGAAGCAAACCATGACAAGTCATGGTATGGCGAGAACGCTTGCCTGTTCTTGCCAGAAAGGTTCATCGACGATACTACTTCACTTCCTCACCTAACGTATGGAGCAGGAAGTCGAATTTGTCCGGCCGTCTCTATAAGCAACAGGATTATGTACGCGGCAATTATTCGGTTAACATTATCATTTCAGATGAGAGCTTCTACTGTACCAGGAAGCAGAAAACCATCGCTAGATATGATAAATTTTTCAGATGGCCATACGGCGGTACTCAGTCCGCCTCGGGAGTACGACTGCAATTTTGAGGCGCGGGATGAAGAATGGTTGAGGGCACGTTTACAGGCTGATGCATCCAGTATTCCAGTATAACAGATTATTGAGAATTCCAGAGATACTGACTTTGTATCAATGATATATTATACTAGTAACGTTAGCACTTCATTTTTGAAGTCCTTGATCGCACATACGTCTATGAATCGGTGAATACAATAAATGCTTCTTGTTTCTTCAATTAAAAGATTCATAGGTATATAGAACATTTGACCAACCCTTTGATGTTCTCCTGAACAGTCGCGTCAATAATATGATTGCGAATACACATGCTCAATCCAAATCCAGTATGCAATCTCAATGCACAGTGCATAGAAATTGTGGAACATAATTAACATGTGCATGATCAGTTCCGCAGACCGACGACTTGCACTGATAAGATTAGCTTGGGTCAATTTCAAAGGCATGCTGCTGGATTAGCACGGGTTACGGATCGGGATCCTGCATTATGGACCATTTGATTTTCTCCATTTGGTGGCCTTAACCGTTCGATAATTCCATGGCAATTGCCCACATGTGTATCTGATCTATTATTATTACGAACAATCCATTGGTATCATCTTTCTGCTTGTTCTATAAACAGATTTATCTTTTCGATGTAAGAACATCATTTGAAGGACTCAAACGTTTCTTTACCAGTTTGATTATCTCAACATCCTAGATCTAACAAGCACAATGCTTTCCGCCAAAGCACCCAAGAAGAGGGTTCACCTTGCGTTCTTCGAAACCGCCTGCACAGGTCCTCATATGTGCGCTGGACAGTGGAAGTATGTCAAATACATAACCCTTCCTCACTAATTATCGATGTGTGCTAAGTTTGTGCCACCTTATTAGGAGGGAGGGCGATAATTCTCGAACCAAAGACAGGCTAGATTACTGGATTAACGTGGCGAAGCTAGCTGAAGAGGGCAAGATCTCGTGCATATTTTTCGCAGATTCCTATGCCGGAAAGGATGTCCTCGGTGATAATATGAAATCCATCTTCGCGTAAGCCACAAGCTCTACAGAATCCTTTCTAAACTAAATCTCCCAGATCTGGAGCAAATGTGGCTCAGATGGATCCTCTTGTCATCATCTCGGCGATGGCTGCAGTCACCAAATCCGTTAGTTTCGGGGTAACTTGCAGCACAACCTATGTTCCCCCGTATATCACAGCTCGCACATACAGTACACTAGATCATCTCACCGAAGGGCGCATTGCGTGGAACATTGTTACAAGCTACAGTCAGTCCGCTGCGGATGCGTTTGGCGAGGATAAAGTGCTTCCACATGACGAGCGATACGCCCGGGCCGATGAGTACATGGACGTCGCGTATAAGCTTTGGGAGCAATCATGGGATAATGGTGCCCAGGTATGGGATGTTGAGAGTAAAGTGGCTTATGACAGTGACAAGGTCATGAAGATCGACCACAAGGGTAGGTCTCTTCAGTTACCGTCTTGATGAGTTTCTGATGAGCCTCTATAGGGAAATATTTCAAGATGTTTTCCCGAAATCAAGTTCATCCTTCTCCACAACGCACGCCAGTTCTCTTCCAAGCAGGCGCATCCAAGACAGGGATTCAATTTGCAGCCAAACATGCAGAATGCATCTTTCTTTCAGGAATGTATCCTGCGCAGTGCAACAAGCAAGTTTCAGAGTGCCGGGCTGCCGCAGCAGCAATGGGTAGAGATCCAAATGCACTCAAATTTTTCACAGGGTTCACGCCTTTCATCGGCAAAACTCTGGAGGAGGCCCAAGCAAAATATGAAGCGGCACTGGAAAACACAGACTTCAAGGGGGGGCTCGCACAGACCGCCGCGTATTTGGGTATTGACCTTAGTAAATATCCCTTGGATGAGCCACTCAGCTTGGGAACTTCGCAGTCAGACACCATGATCATGGGGATCATGAATAACTTCAACAGCGCTTCTGGGTCGGACAAATCAGAATGGACCCCACGCAAAATTGGACTGAAGATGGCATTAGGAGGCTTCCATCCTTGCCCCATAGGCACTCCTGAAATGATTGCCGATGTGATGGAAGAGTGGTCCGAAGTGGCCGATGTGGATGGATTTCTGATTGCCTACGTGACCAACCCCACCAGCTTTGAGGATGTTGTTCACTTGTTGCGGCCAGAGCTGGTGCGTAGAGGCTTGATGTGGGAAGACTATGAGGTTCCTGGTGGCACTTTCCGGGAGAACTTGTATGGAGCAGGCCAGGCCACCTTGAGGGATGATCATTATGGAAGTGGATTCAAATCCTACTCGAAGAAAGAAACCAAGGTGTAGATTGATCGGTCGCGTAGGGTACGATGTCAGATACTCTTCAATGAATTCTATTTCATTCAACTTCCGGCATCATTCGTCCAATCACAGACTGTCCTCCGTCCCATGCCACATTTATGAAGTCATCGAAGAGTGACTTTCGTCGAACGGTGACATCCGTCGAACAGTGACATTGGGTCTCGTCGATATTTCTTCCGGTCTCCATCAATGACTTGTGACCAGCCATGCCTCGAGAAACGCTAGGGCGTCAAACAACAGCACCGCATCTCCGCTCACCCCCGCTGAAAGTACCAGTATGTTCCGAAATGTGGTGACAAGTTTTCGTAAATTGTATGCCTATCCTTACTGCCAAATCAAGTAGCGTCGAATATACCTGTAAACCCTGGCTCATCGGCTCGGGATCTAACTGTCAGTGGTGGTGTGGGGCTGCACACACCAGATCCGAGAGTCCGTCTAATCTTCACTATCGGGTTTGTGTACAAACAAATCATGCTCCAATTGGTCCATACCAATTTAAATGACATTATGTCGGGAGTAAAGTTTGCGTCGCAGCTTCCGGCCGTGCAAGACGTTAGCCGATACGGCACTGATCCGGGAGCCCACTGAAGTTCGTCTAATGCATGGGATCTCATTTAAACCCAGGAAAACGACTAAATTTTAGAGGTATATCAAATCGAAATAGTCGTTACGTTAGAATCACTAAACTCCAACAAGTATTTATGTAGGATGCTTGCCACAACGACCACGACGGAACAGGCATATGATGATGTTTGTGACGTCCATGTCTTCGGCAAAAATGGATGTGACACTCTCATTTCGGTCTCCCAAATCTCAGCAAGACAAGTACAGAAAGCCCTCACTGTACCTCAAGCATTCCAGTACGAAATACGACATGACTTCCCCATTCCCGAGATAATAGAGGACGACGAAATCATGATTCGAGGCCGTGCCGTTGGCTTGAATCCAATCGACTTCATGACAGTCGACCATAATTTCTGCCTTCCGTCATTTCCTTGGGTGTGTTCGATGCTATTCTATAATTGGTGTCTTCGCTGAGATATAATAGGTGACGGGTCGCGAGGTAGCAGGAGTCGTGGAAAAGATGGGATCTCGTGTTACCAAATTCAAAATAGGCGATCGAGTCTGGGCCAGTATGATCACATTCCACTGCGTGACTCGAGACCATTTTCTGACAAATTACTAGGTACATATTATCGAGATGTAAGGGCAGCATGTTTCCAAGAACTAGTAGTTGTTCCTCAGCATACCGTTAGCCCGATTCCCCCAAACCTAAGTTTTGAATCTGCGGCTTGCTTAGGCGTGCCAGGGCTGACGGCTGCGATGACCTTGTGGAAATGGCTTAGGGTTCCTTTTCCATCGTCCGCCGCGAACACCCCCAAGAGCAATGATCACATTGTTATCTGGGGTGGCTCGACCATTACAGGGCAATTTCTCATACAACTCGCCGTACATTGCGGTCTCACTGTCATTGCGGTCGCATCCAAGAGGACACAGAATTTAGTACGAAGCTTAGGTGCAGACTATGTAGTGACACGCGACCATCAGACAAACGAAGATATTGCGGCCATGATTCGAGATATAGGAAGTGATCGAATTACCAGGGCAGTTGATCTGGTAGGCTCCGAGACTGCTACCGCTGCGTTGAGTACCCTTTCGAAATCTCGACCAAGCATATTCGCACCGCTGTCCAAAGCAATCCAGCACGATGGCAAGTCACTCAACGTAGAGATTGCTGATGTTCAAATGAAATGGTTTATCTTAGATTCCTCATCAGAGATATATTCTACATGGTTGAATGAGCTGTTAGCTTCTGGGCTGATCAAGATTCCGCAGTTAGAGATTTTGTGCGGCGGTCTGGAAGATGTGGTACGGGGTCTAGAATTGCTTAAAAGGGGTGATCGGGGGGGACGGAAGCTCGTTGTAACAATATCCTGATAAAAGGACTATAAAGCTGACGTGTAGGTACCCGTAGATTCATTTTGTACTAGAAGAGACCCGACATGGGTATTTAAGTTCTGGCTTCTCATCACAATTCTCAGCCCAAACCTCTGCATTATTCTCAACGAAGTTTACATACAGTTCAGTTAATTATCGATTCGTGAATGGAGCTCTGTGGATCCACCTAGAGAACGTTGGTGTTAGCGTCAAGCTACAGCGATAAGACTAATATGTAGGAGAGGGGCAATGACAGATGTGGAACCCGTCCTCCTCTAATCGGAGACTGGTTAAAAAAGTGAGTTCGATCAGATTCGCGATACATTTGACATCTCTACCCGTTTGCTCAAGTCGTTCGAGGTGGAAAGCGACTAGTTGAGTTCTTCATCTCAAATATGTTCACCAGCCCGACAGCTCCATCACATAGTGGAGAGAGTGCAAAATCAGCTCAGTCCTCGGGAGTCAAACGAGCACGGGTTGCAGTGGCTTGTGAGCGATGTATGTGGAGTAATTGGATTCCCTAGGGTCAGTTTGTCATCTGCTAATGCCACAGCAGGCAAGACAAGGAAGCAAAAAGTCAGTCAGATTGTTGCTTCGGAATCCTCCTATATTGCTAAGTGCTAACTGGGAGACAAGTGCGATGGCCACCAACCTCTCTGTTCCAATTGTGCCAATTCTGGAACGAACTGTATATACGTAGCACGGCCCCCTCCGCCAACAATACGTCGGAAAAGACATGTTAAGGCACTTGAGACACGAATTGCCCTTCTTGAGAGCTACTTGATCAAGCACGGGCTTCCCAATGTTGGGGAAGACATCCTTGACCCCAATAATGTGCCGGTTGCCACGAAAGATAAACAGCATGATGAAGAAAGGGTAATCCCAGGGGTCAGCCAAAGCGGAATTAGCCAAAAATACGAGGCAGTAGAGGAAAACGGTTTGATGATCGACGTACTGAGAGAGCTAAGTCTCGAAGCCAGTGGTGGTTATATTGGAGCGTCTTCAACTATCACGCTTGGACAAATGGTTTGCTCAATCCTGAAGGATGAGCCGACCATGCGAGCAAAAACCCGGATGGGACATGATGAACACGATCATCTGCTTAGCCTAGGCGATCCAAGGCCCGATGATAATCTTTCTGAGATGGATCATTCTCTCCTCGAAGGCGACGTCGTTGATAAGCTCGTTCATAGCTTTCTGAAATACGTTACCCATCGTCTGCCCATTATGTTCACTCCTGGTGTGTGGAGGAAACACTCGCGGCGTTTTGAACTCCAAAACCCTTATCAAAAGGCAACTTTATACATGGTGTATGCACTTGGCGCCAAGGCTTTAGAAAGTGCTGCTGATGGAGGAAACTTCTCCACGGAGGCTTACTATCAAGCGGCTGTGGATCAACTAGAGGAGGTGTTAGAATATAACGATATCCGGTCTGTTACTGTACTTCTGCTCTTAGCCCTATACTGCCTTGGAGATCCAAGAAGTCCAGGAGCTTGGTGAGTTGTTTCATGCATTGCAATGAGTTAATGCTAACGTATTATGAAGGACATATGTTGGAATCGCTATGAGGATTTGCATTGAACTTGGGTTTCATCGCAAATCCGGGGCCACCACGCGAATAGGAATAGACGCCGAGCTCAGGAAAAGAGTCTTTTGGTCATGCTATGGTCTAGATCGCCAGATTTCGATCCTGCTTGGGCGACCATTTGCTTTGTCCGACAGAGATATCGATTGTCCTGTGTGTAGCATCTCTTTATATGCCAAAAAGCTTCATTTACTAACGTGTATTTGTAGCTGCCGCTAGATGTAGACTTGTCAGAGCAAGACAAAGTTGTTCTCTCTCAGGCGATGAAATTTGCAGACGCCGGTATACAGGCAACACCGAGCACCTCAATGTCAGCTTTTATACACATTACACGGTTGAGACGTATTGAGTCTGAGATTCAACAAAGTGTTTATCGTCTTGACGAGCCAAATTCAATGAGTGAGACGGATATCGACAAGATCTTAGGAAGATTAGAGGAGTGGAAATCGAAAATCCCAACCTATACTCAGAGCATTGTTGGTTCGGACAATATCACTTTCGATGGACGCGATAGTTTTGTGAGATTCCACAAGAACATCTCGCAGCCTTTGAACTAACAAGATTGTGATAACCAGATTCTACACTATAACAAGGCTTTGCGCCTTGTGCTTTATCCTCAGCTGGCGGTTCCTGACGTAAATATCCGTTTCGTCAAGCTGTGTGCAGAAGCCTGCGGAAGCATTTGCGAAACATACAAGCGATTGTATCACTGTATGCCCCTCGTGTTTTCTCATAGTGCCCTCCAGTCAGTCTTCTTCGCCGGTGAGCACATAGCCCTCCACTATTAAAAGCCAAAAACTGATATGAATCAGGACTCACTATTCTTTATTGTATATGGATCTCTCCAGATGACATTCTCGACATGAGCTCAAATGATCACCTCAGCTCCTGCAGTATAGTTTTATACGTGATGACTGAACGCTGGCCTGAAGCTCAACGATATCGGGACGCATTCGAGAAGACAAAGCGCATTGCTCTGGAACTTGTAGCGGCAGGCAGGCACCGTCCAAGAAGTCAAGCAAACAGGTTAATTGAGACTAAATTACGGTCCACATTCGATGAAGTTGATATCAACGGGCCTGGCAGAGATGAGGTTTTGCGCATGATCGGCGACATGGCTGGAGAGGCTGAAACAATGTGGGAACCATTCATCGACGAAGGTCGCATACAGATTTTCGATGCAACAGATTTGGGTGCTTTTGCAGAGTCGGGTGATTGGATTCCCGCAGACGGTATGGTGCTGCACACCGGAAATGACTTTGACAATGCCAGCCAGCAAAGGATAGCACCAGGAGCCATGCTTGGGGAGTTATCTTTAGACGCAATCTTGTGAAATTAATATGATGAGGCTCCTGTGTGTCATTTGGGAATCATTTGATGAATTCCGGTATCTTTATACATAGGTCCCAGAGTGATCAAAAGTGCCTATTGCCCGCTCAGACGACAAAAACAGGACGACTTG